AGAACTGCTTTTTAGAATTAAATATCAAAATGAATTTAGAAAATATTCGAGGTCTTAAATTATTTTTTAAAATGTTAGTTAACGATAAAAAAATAGCTGAAAAGACTAATAGAGTTAATGAAATATTGTAGTAATATAAGAATTTTCGAAAACGTGATGCGATGTTTTGTATTCTTACCTCGGTTCTAGAGAGATCTATAACGGTCAACGTAACTTCAAATATATCACAGAATCGTTTGTTGAGAACTTTTCCACTGAATTAAATGTGCCAATGAAGGTCCTAGATTCTGATATTCATATTTCAGAGATTCACAACCGTTCTTTCATCGACCCTTTTTAAAAGAAATGTTTGCTTTATAGACCGTACGTTTTTACTTTCCCATATACATTCATACATACAAAGTATTATACGTAGTATAGGAAAAATTATGTAATGTTGCGAGATATCAACAAAAGTAGACGTTTAGGGGTCCCCTGATACCAAAAAAGTACCATTTCGGTTTCGAAAAATACCGTTAGTTTTTTTCTAAACGTCCGTCCATTCGCCCATCTGTATGTCTGTCGATATGTCTGCCTGCCCGCCCGTCTGTCCGTCAGTCCATCAGTCCGTCCAACCAACCATCCGTCCCTCCGTCCGTCCCTCCGTCCGTCTGTCTGTCGGTCCGTCCGTCCGTCCGTCCGTCCTACTGTCTGGTGCGATTTTTTTAAATTGTAGAAATTCCTGTCCATTTGGCATGATCCGAAGCTCTGCGATTTTGAAAAACATTCATTAATTTTTGGGAGCACTTCACATGATGTACTATGAACATTTTCAAAATTTTCCAATTTTTTAAAATTTCTTCTAAAAAGAGAGTACACATATAAAAGGGGACATAAGTCCGATTTTCACGGTTAACTCTGAATTTTCGAAAGTTCCTACAACTCCAAACTAGAAGTTAGAGATTAATTCTTAAAATAAAATTTGTTCTCCATAGTGAGTGCTTTCGTTAACATCAGGTACTTTTATTTGAAAATTTTAGTAGTTTTCATGCAATTTTGCGTTCAATATGTGCAATTTTAAAAAATTACAAAAACAAGATTTCCTCTAAAACGGCTCCAAATTTTATCTTTAAATTTTTGGTATGGATAGTTCTAAATTTACTCTATGAGATGACATAAACATCAGTTTGCTATATTCTTCTATTTTTTCAAAAACGTCAAAAATTTTGACTTGTCTCTTACGTCATTAATAATAGCGGCAATTTGTTTACATTATTTTCTTGAGTATATATGCTTTAAATAACATCATAAATATTCTCGATAATCATAAATCAAGTTTTCTGTGAAAACTAGCTCAAAAGTCCGAATTTTCAAAAACGCTCAAATGCTACTTTCTCTGAAACGGTTCCAAATTGTTTCTTCAAACTTTTCGAACGGATAATGCTAATTTCACTCACTAATATAACGTAAAGTTTATTGTGGAGTATTTTTTTCTTTTCAAAAATTACACAAATCTGCAACATCTCTCACGTCGTTAATATGTACATTTCCAGCAATTTCGAAACACTATTACCTTGTGACTTAATATGTTATGATGTAATGTAATGACTTCTAATGTTGTTTTCCGAAAACTCAAAAATTTTCTGTGAAAAGGAGCTTCAAGTTTCAAATTTACAGGAGCCCTTAAACGCCATTTTCTGGAAAGCGACTTTAAATTTTTCAACGAAAATTGCCATTTAGGACGAGGTTTTACTGTTCTGTAATATTCTTAATAATGTTTTCATTCTACTACTAGGAAACCTAAAAACTTAGAAATAAAAAAAATGTACTTTGGGCGGCGATAGATGGCAGCTGACAAAAGTATGTGGCAAGTTCGTAAAGCTAGAAGAGACCAAAGGAAATAGGAAACTAATACGGGAATGTCTGTGCCATTCTGTAGGATCACTAGTTTACTTTCTTGAATGCGTACGAATACATGGAGTAATAAACGTAGTATAATGAAAGTTCCGTACTGTTGCGGCAAGAATTGGGAATTTTGTTTCCGGAAAACTCTTATTGTGAGAACCCGATATGAAAAAAGTACATAAACCTTGTTCGAATATGTAGTAAATTACTTCCTGTAACACGTTTTGTATCCAAATTTCACGATTTGTGGGTGATTGATACCGAAAAATTGGTTTACGGCAAAACGTCCGCCCGTCTGTGAACAACTCTAGCGCCTTAACTATTCTTAAGGCGCCTTAACTATAACTTAAGGATTGTTCCAAAGTCAATATTCCCCGGTCAATCTGTCGCAACTACAAGCTCTGCGATTATGAAAAACAATTTCGGTGGTACTTTACATGAAGCAACAGGAACATTTCCACTATTTTATAAAAACTTACTTCAAAAATTTTTTTTAAATTATTTATATGAAGAGAGTACGTACAATATACTTACAAAGATGCGTAGGCTCGATTATCACCGTTCACTCTCCAACCGTTAACTCCGATTTTCTCTGTTTTCGAAAATAACAAATGTTTAATTTTTTTCGGTGTCTTTCGAAAAATACAAAATTAAACTAGATAGAAATTAATGTCAAGTACTTTTTTTTTGAAAATCTTAGTAGTTTTCGCGTAATTTTGAGTGCCGTTCTGCAGTACTACTGGTTTAAAATTCGAGTTTCATTGCATCAGTAGGTTTAACTATTGCCACTATATTAAATTATGACCGAAATATCCACATTAAACCGGAAAGGTAATACAGTAACCACAGCGTTTTATACCTGTAGGTACTTTGAAACCTCCCCGTTTTTGTTTTTGTAAAATTCCTCCAAAATATTCTGAAATGATCCGCCTAAAAATAAAACCAATTCGTTCATGTTACCAGAGCAATCAAATGCATTCACCTCTATAGGTGGCATTAAAACCCTCCCAAAGCACGTTTTAGGAGCTTAATCCTCCCCAACATATGTTTTCTATAATTAATTCCGAAGCTAAGTTAAATTATCAGGTCAATCTGATGACTCAAGTCGCAACGATTCATTTGTAAATGACGTGAAAATAATAAAGTAATTTACAGCGTTTCACCAATGTTCTTGTAGATGCATTAAAACAATTAAGTATGTGTTTTTCGAGAATTCTAAAATATACTATAGAAAACAGGGTAAGAAAGAAGTTAATCGATTTGTCTCATTGAGAGAAATCGAATGAGCTATTGATCACTTCTGAAGGTGGCGTAGGACACCCAAACCACAGGCTTTAAAACATGTGTTTTTGAAAAATCTCTAAAAATCTTCTGGATGGATTCGAAAAAAAAGGTCAGTTTTTCCATTAAGAGACTGTGTGGTATCGAATGATTTATTAAATACTAATTTTTACTTACTGTGTATAATTTAATTAACAAGTCTCTATATTATCAACCTCATCTAGAGAACCCTCTTAAATTTTAATACTTCACTCTTAGAGGCAGGAAACACCTTTAACAATATTTCTTCTTAATCTGAAGTCAATGCAGTTATTGCGCTTATAAGGAAATGCCATTACGAAATTAAATCCCTTCTTGTTCAAAATGTTTTACTCTACATTCCTAAGTTCAAATATGAATGAAGTGTATCACTTTAATTGTTTTTTTTCTTTATTAGAGAAAACTAATATCTACACTTCAAGCAGTAACTGTCAAAGGACTTTTCAAAAGATTGTCTTAATGTAGGTATTAAACGACGTAATGTCGCCTCAGTGTAATCCATACTTTTAAAATTCGCGGCAGTTGTCCTGGACCCAGTGTCAGCAAACTATTAGTATGCAAGTCATCTGGCCCGCGCCCTTGACATGCCCGTTCCAGAGAAAAGGAAAACCATTTTATCTCCAATTAACCTACTGAAATAGTTATAGAGACCGTGCAATTTGCGAATAACTAACTAAAGATCATTACAATCACTTTTGGCACTGCAATCGCCGAACTCAAAATTTCCATCTCCCTCTCACTCTGCGCAACAGAAAGTTTGACCCAGATCCTGAAACGCCTTGGTTCACTGAACTTTGTTTTGAAACTTCCCTTTTGTAGTTTTCCTCGGCACAAATTCCCCAGTAGCTCCACGAATAACCGAACAAAGTCGTACAGAGTAATTAAATTGCAGTAAAGTTATTGCATAATTAGTTCGGGTGGTAGAAAGAAATGTTTTTATTAGATTGCAATGGATCTATACACAGGAAGAAATTAGACTATGATCTACACGTCTAATTAAAGTACCTAGAGTGTCACCACATCCTTATTTAGTCAATATTATTTTCTATATTATAACGCAGAAGGAGAATTAGCGCTACGAATATGACAAGTGTTTATTATTTATAGTATAATACTCTGACCGCTTGAGAATGTCGAGAATGGAAAGCTGGCACCAAGGGCTTCCTGCGGAGATGACATTTGTGACATTTATTTTTAAGCGTCCCACCTCTTCAATGTGTCCTTGATCTCAATGTCACACGGCCGAATGACAGCTGAACGAATTATGAAGCAGTCAACTGATAATAAGTAAAGCACCCGCTTCCGTGCATAATGCCCACAAAATGTATGATTAACTCTTAGCAATACACTAGCACGTAAATTTATTTTTTCTTTTCTTGTGGCTCTCAATTCGGGGTTTTCCTACAATGAAACATGTATTTAACGATAAAAAAGTAATCTTACACAAGACAAAATTCATATTTCGTGTTTGGAATAATGCTAGCCATCTAGTATTTGATATTATTTAGTCTATTTATTAAAAAATAAAAAAGTTAGGTGTTATTTTTAATTCACTACACGATAATTCATTTTGTTTTATGTTGTTAAATATTATCCACTAAATACGCATACCATTTGCGACATACAAATTTATGAAAAACTAAATTACGAGCAGAATACGTAACAAAAATATTCTTTTTAGCACATGCAAATAAAAATTGTTCTGTGTCTTGAGAACTACGCGCATGCTTCCCTTCCTGCTTGTGATTTTCGCAATTTCATTGCCAAATGATGGTCGGAGCCGAAAATGCACTTACCTGCTGAACTGTCCCACCCACAGCGCGTGATCGCTGTTCAGGCCGCAGTGCGGCGTGCTAGAACACTCGCTGATCTCTTCTGCCCAAGGCGCATGCGCACGAAAATCGCGATGACACGTGACCAGGCACGCTGAGAAACTGTAAAAGTTGTGCCGGCTACTGAGAATATCAGTATACACTTTGTTCAATGATTATCATGGCAAGTTTTCAAGAGCTTCGATCCTCTAACCGTGTTCTTGTGACTCGCTATGATTGTGTCCAAGGCAAGACTGGCCTCTTGATTGTGGACGGATATCAAAAGCATTTACACACAATGAAGAAAGAGTACATCGCGTCGCTTATCAGTCATCACTGGGTCGCGAGCAAATGAAAGGGTGACTCGTATGACAGAACATATCAAAGTGATTCGTTACGTTAGTAAAATATACCAAGTGGGATGATAAGACTGACGATACCCAATGTAAAGTTGAAACACAGAAACGGTTAATAATTAATTAAAGAAAATAATTTTTATTGAGGCCATTTAATTCAAAATTCAGGATCAGGCAATTCAAATCAAGAAAAATTTAGTTTTGTCTACGAAAATCCAGGAAACCAGGATATGATGATGAAACCATTTGATGGAGCTAAATGTATGCACTAGTTACACTTTTTCAGAAAACAATTTCCATATCTTTAAGAATATTTTTAATGTATTATTCACCATAGCAGTATTATCACTTATCGAGCACCACCTTTTGTCATTTTAGTTCAATATTGATCTTCCTATGACTTCCGATGACCGTCCCTCAGCGATAAAAGCAAACAACCCCATCTTTTCTAAAACGTGGCAATGAGGTGATAATCAATTGACGAAGGCCGAATGGCTAATTCCAAAACTCGAAAATCTTAGCAAATGAATTATGAAGTTGTTCAGAGTGCTCAAAGACTTTTGTACTGGCGAAGAAAATAGCATAGACTTTCTCTATTATTTTCAACAATTACGTAATATTACAATATGGGTTGTTCCCCAAGAATATATTCAACCCCCAAAAATTTTGCTCGGGCTGGGAAACGATATCCGGAGGTGTGTGGACTCGCCGCCAAGCGCTCCCGCACAGTAGGCCTTAGAACCGTCGCTACTCTGAAGGCTGGAGACACACGAGCGCACTTCAAACGGACATTAAAATGCGTCCGTTTCAGAGTTTACAAATGGCTCATGAGATACCGGTGCGATTTCAGTTGAGCTCTGCATGTGCCGGAAGTACTGACGCCCGTGAAAATACGGAGTTGTAACGTCCGTTATGCGACGTTCGTTTTCCGTCTGCCAACAGAGGAAACTTTGCATTGTCGTCGCTGGAGCACTGCTCGCCGACCATTCACATGGACTTCGGGCTGGTTTACAGAAATTGACCCAGCATCCATTAATTTTTCTTTATTTAAATTTGCATGAGGAATCGGAATCGCTGTCCATACCAAACAACATTACAGTTATTTATTCATTTGCAACTAAAAGAAATTCTTAAGTGTTTACTTCAAAAGTTACCCTAATATCATGCGTAGGAATAATGTAACAATTAGAAATGATGAATTGAAATAAAACTATGCACCTTCCGGCCATGTAAGAGGTACCTTTCATGTCGTTCGACACCTAGCAACTCAGGAATAATAAAACAATGAAATTATTTAGATTTTGACGGAAAAATGCAAAAATGGGGTTGTGTTATACCGCCTATTTTCCTAATGCGCCTCCCGACTAAATATTCTTACGTTTTATAGAAGAGGTCGACAGTCATTAAATATTTGCTATTCACGAGTGGATTCATGCGACTGCCCCTTTTTATTTTCTCGTCATGTAAAGAACTGTTATATTATATATCTATACTAATAAAAGTTAATTTAACATGTAACTTCAATGGTAACAGTAAATTCAATGAACTTCGTGGAAAATCGGTGAATTTTCATCGTTAATCTTGATATTCATTCGTTAATCTTGACAAAAGGCGATGAAAAAGAACTCAGAAGATATGTGGAAGAACAGAAAATATGTGGCTGAAGGAGAATACGAATATGTAGGTTTTTAATCGTTGTACAAAGTATAAGAAGAATCAACTGTTAATAACTGATTTATATAATTCAATAATTCCTTGAATGACAAAGATATCCCGAACATCAGCTCCTTCTGCCCCAGGTGTAGGCAGCCCTACCCGAGCAATTAACTGGCTTAATGATATTTTCAATTAAAATATTGAATATCAGGAGAGTGAGTGTTTGATTTTGAATGATTTCCTTACTTTTGACAAAAGGGAACACAAAATTAGTACAAGGAATCTAATCCGCAAAGTATCATTAGCTTCATCCTATCTCTTCGTGAACTCGCCTTTGTCTTCTTCTTTTTCACCATGCAAACTTTCTCCTGTCATTTGAGGCATGGCAAATTACTGAGGGCACCACGTCCGAAATACGAAGGAAAACGAGTCAAATAAGGCAATTACAAATAATACAATTAATCTTCTTTTATCATAAAAACAAATATACAAAACTTCATTTCAACCCAATAAATCATTCAATGACAAAAATGTTAACAAAAATGTTTCAGTCGTCAATACTCTTTCAACAATTGTCCCAATATGCATGAGGATTTATAAAATATCTTCAATGATGCTGGAGAACAGCATGATGCAGACGTTTGCACTCAAAACATGGAATGTACAACACTCTTACAAGATTGTTTCATACCACTCATAAATAGGTACACAAGTTCTGTATAAAGCTTCTGTCATCGTAACAGAAACCTTACCTTTCCTTTTAGCAAAGAAAGATTGTTCCTGTTTCTAAATCTGTGCAACAGACAAAACAGCACGGTTGACTCCCTCGTTTCGATGTCAGCTCGACTTGAGCTTGTTGGCCTTGCTGACCGCACTCTTCCGTTTGTGGCAAAGGAAATTGGC